TTGGACAAAGCTCCAGCCAATAAACGATTCAAATATGAGTGTATCGGTGATGTTCTCACTAAAGTTTGTGAAGGACATGACCTTTATGCTATGTATGGGGCCCGTCGTCTGTTGCAAAGTTTCTTGGCTGGAATTGAGCCTCGCTATGCTAATCAAGGTCTATTCACTCGACTGAAACTTGCAACTATCGAATTAGCTCGTGCAAACAAGATCGATTTATTATACTCAAAAGCTACTAGCCAATATTCGACTCGAGCGAATCTGAAGCTTGGTTTCCATAAGGTACGCGCAATCGATTATGGCAGTTACCAAGACGCTAAAGGCTCGCATATTTTCGCTGGCATGTCTAAGACGCATCAGACTTGTACGCTGAATGTCAAAAACTTGCGTAATTAAATCTATTTCATTGATTCAATAAAGATTTCTCATTGCAAAAATAAGAATTAGTCGAAAACAATCTGAATAATTATCCGATACTTCATCGTTGATGACATGGATTGACATACAACTTGAGGGTGTGGGTGTGGGTGGGTGTCTTTTTCTGCCACTGGTATTCACACCCACACCCACACCCTATATCATTCGATATAGCTCATTAAAGTGCATCGAATGAGCTATATCTGACAAGTGGCTCACAATGTGGGGCGAATCGTCATAGAAAACCTTTTTTTTAATGTTTTTTCCCTATGGGAAAAATTAGTGTTTTTTGCTTCCATTTGAATCGGATAGCTTTCATTGGGAATTCGATTACACCATTTGATAGAGCTCTCCGAGCTGCATCTGTCTCATAGTATTCCTGAGTTGGCTCACTAAATGGAGCGAATCGTTTTGAAAAAAACTCGAATCGGCTGCTAACTTCCCTTACATCAAGTAAATCGCATTTCTTATTATAGACAGCCACTTGTATTCTCTCGTTATTATACTGCTTTTCTTCTTGTTATTCTTGAAATTACTAGAAAACATCTTTTTCTGAGACAAAGCGTGAAATCTTCGAAGACCTTTGTTACGTAGATGTGAATGGTCAGTTAAATGTATTAATTATACAGAAATATAAAGATCCTTCAATATCATATGGCTTTATCGTTTGAAGTTTTTCAAAATAACTTTATGATCATTTTTGGTCTGTTTGATAAGAAGATACTAGATTTATTCCAATAACATATTCACTAAAGTGTCGAAATGTGAAGTGTCTACAGAGACATATAGAGAAGATCGATATCTTTTCTGCATAGGAGCAAATGGCATCGTATTGGCGAAAGTCATAAGTAGAACAGAAAAAATTCCATTCATCTCGATTTCAAAGTGAAACCTCACTAGTGTTTTATGTCAAAATCGAAAAATAGAAACACAATTGTTCTACCCTCAAAATCCAAAAATAATGGATGGTGATAATATTCTTTTGTTTCTCGCCTTTTCTACAGTTACCTTAAAGAAAAACTCTTAAATGAATAAATAGTTTGTCAGATGGAGCCGGGATCGACACGATTGATAGTCATGCTGTTCGAAATATACATGACAATTACGATATTCGAATCTCGATGCCATTAAATTATGAAGTGACCGTAGATGATCATCTTGAATGATCAGTCCAATAGCGTATTTATTGTATCAGAAAGCGGGTAAGCTTGCTTGTTTTGTAAAAATAGGTCGATTTTGCGAAAATAACGATTTACTATATAGTTTAATGGAAAGATTTTCTGAATCGAAAGGTGTGAATCTAAGTACAGTTTGTGGAAAAAAAAGTTAAACTCGAAAATTTTGTGAAAAGATTTATAGATTCCGATTTCTTGACTCCGAAAATGTCCCATCAAATTTTATGAAAAAATTTTTGTTCGCAAAATCGGTCTCTTTTGATTGAAGAACGAATTGGGACTTAAAAATTTGTCTATCAATCTTGCCGCTTGTCTATCATATCAAATCTAAATCGATGCACCACTTTATCATATACTGTGCACCGATAATACCGATGAACGCTGCACTAGTCGACGACGCATCGATGTTACGGTGATCACCATCATCGTTGCATTCTAAGGCAGTTGGAAGATATTGAGCTTACAGAAACTGTCTCTGGCAGCACTCTATACCAGTATCGACAGTTAAAACGCAAAATATTCTTTCTTCTTCCTGATAAAACTTCTTTTTCTTTTATATACAGTGAAATACAGAATATAAACTTGAGAGATTTTCTTTTTTTTCAATTCAACCCTATGAGAATATTATTTTATTTTCTCCTTATTAAACGTAAATTTTCTATTTCAAGAAAGAAACATTCTATGCGAACTAACATGGTTGAATTCAAAATATCGTTAACAGAATTAAATGAAATACAAAATCATGATGATTTTAAAGTGGTTTGGCTTTCTTCGGATAATAATTTCCCGAATAAATTAGTATATTTTATGGATTACTTAGAGAAATTTGATTCGTTTAAAAGTTGTAATAATTATGTAAAAAGATTTCAAAGTGAATGCATGATATTACTTGTTTGAGTCGACTTTTTTAAATATTTATCGTATTTCGATAATCTTCATCAAATTCAATCAATTTATGTTTTGGAAAGAAATCTTCAAAATATGCAATATGAAAAACAAAAATAGTCGAAAATGATTGATGTTTTTACAGATGAACGAATATTAATTGAATGATTGCGTCATGATATACTATTGACATATAGACATGATTTACAAATAACTTTTTTGTATTTAGATGAGATTAAAACTGAACAATCTATAATGAGTTTGGATAAAAATACGTATACATTTTTATTCAATCAAGTATTTATCTAGTATCTTGTTAATGATCCTGAAATAGATATGAATAGATTGAAAAGAAATATGATGGAACAATGTCAACTAGAATATTCAAATAATAAAATTCAATTAGATAATATTAATGATTTTAATCAGAAGTGTACATATGATAATGTATTAAATTGGTATATACAAGACTCATTTGTCTATTGACTTACAAACAGAGTATTTCGTACGCAAAATACTGATTCAATTTGCAAATTTCGATATTTTATCATACTTTTATATAAAAAACTAAAAGAATTATCGATACAACAACAAAAAGAAAACTATGGGACTGTTTATCGAGGATAATGGCTCGGTAAAAACGATTTAGAAAATTTGCAGCCCAATGTTGGACATCTAATATCAATAAATTCAATGATGTCAACATCACATAATGAGACTGTTGCTCGTAACTTTATAGCTGGTGCTGAAGTTGGAGTTGGGGTGTGGGTGGCTGTGGGTGTGCGTGTAAGTCTGGGTGTGAGTATACTTGTTGACGTAACTCACGCTCACACCACCTACACCCTATTGTGTTTTTGTTTGGAACACCACAAAATTCTGAGAACTGAATAATCTATTGGCATTTTTATTTTGATCTTGGTTTGGTTCTTTTCATAAATAAATAGAACGAATCTTACGAATCTTAGAAAAAATCTTTTTAAATCTCTTTGAAGTTTATATAAAAGTTGTTTTGAGATTCGGACTACAACAATGAGTTCTTTCTTTAATCTTATCAGAAAAGAAAAATTGAGAATCATTAGATTAGGGTATTAATTTAAATTTAGTCATCGTAGAATTCTTTTCGTTGAATAGATACTTTTAATCAACGGCAAATCTTTCGACAGCAAATGCTTATAGTTTTGATTATGTTCGAAAAAAATTCAAAATATATTTTTTAAATCGAATTGAAATTTAAAAAATAGTAAAATTTCACAGACTAAAATAAATATGTAAAATGATATTGCATTTTCAATGTTTTTTTTTTGAAATAATTTGTATTCACATAGAATTCGAGTAGAAGTTTAGATTAAAGTCAGAATGTAAGATATTGAATGTTGAAGTGATATAGAATGACATGGCATATCCAGCTGGGCAAGCTAATCGGTATGCAAACTGAAGGTCTAGAGATTGATACTCTATGTATTTATTTCTCTTATATTCTATTTAAAAAATCTTGCAAAGATTCTGTCAAGAAATTTGATAACATCTTCGAGGAAACCTAGTCAAATCCCGAAAGATGTGTTCAGAAATTTTTTTTCAATTTTGAATTATTGAAATTCTGACAGGATCCTACAATTTCGTGGCTACACACTTATTTCAGGATTTAGTTGTTTTCTCAGGAAAAAACAGCGAATCCTGGCACGATCGTGACAATATCTGTCAAGGATCTGGCACTGAAACATCAAAGATTTTCCCTAGGGCATAACCATTTTAATAAAATGTTCGTCGAATAGATCATAAACAACTTAAAAACAACAAAATCGTTTATTTAAATGTTAACTTACTTTTATTTGTAGAGCATGTTAACAGTAAAATGTTGATCGTAGAAATGAGTGAAGGAGTACGTGCAAGCGATTTATATAGACATGTAACAAACAACGGATAGCTATCTATCTTTCATCTCTGGCAAGACTCTTTTTATCGCTCAATAATTCGATAGAAAGATTCTTGACTGAACTTCAAGACGAACAAGAATCATATCTGATACACTAAGGAAAAAAAGAATCTGAAAAACTGCTTTTGGGTATAGGAAATATCTTCTAATCCTTTTGGAGCCAATGCATAGCTTCTAAACTCTTTTATAAGGGCTTACGAATGGGTTTATGAAAACTTTCAAATGCGATAAAGAAGGATTTATTATATATTGCACTGTCATAAACCCTTAAAGGACTCATTATTCTACACTTTTTTTTACAGTGTGTCTCGGTCTGTAGGGTGGGAGAAGGGTTCAGTTTTCTCGCTATAAAATTCAACATTCATTAATAATCGTGTTTCACAAAAACAAAGACGAATGACTCAAAACTCACAAGAGTATCCACATTCGGACTCCATTTGTGTTTACAAGGACGAATTTTAACAGCGAAAATTTTCAAATAATGAGATACTTGTTCGAAGAAAGGATATCAATTTAAAAAAAAACATGAATTTGTTCTATGAAATTGAAAATCATCCGACTATTTAATATTAATTAAGAAGAAAACAAAATCAATATCGCTTATTTAACAAATTAGTGTCTACCGATTCTATAAACGATTTAAAACTAGCAATTTGAAATCGACTAAGATCTCGTTCGTATTTTTCATCGCCAATCGCCATCATGGCTATAATTTTACCTAATAGAATAGTAAATTTAAAACCATGTCCAGAACATCCACTAACTAAGAAAACATTTGGTTGGTTAGGTACATGATCAACAATAAAATCAGCATTAGGTGTATTCGTATAGATACATGTTTGACTATGTGTTACAGTTTTGCCCAAATTCGGAAAACGTTTTTCTGCATATTGTCGTATTTGATCGATATAGACATCGTCAACTGGTCGTCGATGAGCATCTACATCGGTTATAGCCTCACCTAAATTATCTGAAGCTAATTTGATTCCGTCGATTTGACCATCACTTGGAAAACCATAATAATTCGTTTCAGAATCTGCCCATACAGGAAATGTACCATCGGCTTGAAAATATTCTTCATGATCATTTATATTAAGATAGACAATTTGTTGTCGAGTAAGTTTAAGTGGCAAATTGAGATCTTTGAAAATACGAGTCATCCATGGACCAGCTGTAACAATTACTCGATCAAATTCTTCATCAATAGTATTGTCTGACGAACATCTAACCAAGATTTTGCCGTTTTCAGATGATGAAACAATTTCCTTAACTGGTGTTTGTTCATGAACAACAGCTCCATGTGCTTTAGCCAAACGAATATTCGCTTGAACACATCGAGTTGCACGCAAGAAACCACTGTCTTGTTGATACAATGCAATTTCATCGGGCTGTAACTTAAATGCAGGATATTTAAGTTTAATTTCTTCGGCATTGAATCGATCGTATGGCAATTGCGCATCGATTAAAGAACGTTCTGTAGCTGCAATATTAGGATTATCTTTATGGCCAAAGTAGAGACCACCACAACGGACAAACAATTGTTCTTGTGCATCCTTCTCTAATTCATCCCATAGTCGATATGCATCGGCTACTAGTTGCATATAGAAAGGATCACGATACATATATCGAATCAATCTTGATTCACCATGAGAACTGCCATGCGTATGTCCAATATGGAATTGTTCATAGCCAACAACTTGATGACCTGAACGAGCGAGATGACGAAGTGCTGCACTACCCGTTCCGCCAAGACCGACAATAGCAATTTTCATCTACAAAAAAAGACAAAAAACCTACATTTATTGAAAGATATAATAAGGTAAAAATCATCTAATTCTCTCGACTAGTTTATCTAGAGCATAACAGGTACTTTGAATGAGACCGGCCGTTAAAAGACCTTTATTTGTTTGAGATAAACTCGATCGTTTAAAAATATGTTGTATAACTTCTTTGACTTTTTCTATTCATTGTGTACTCACATATGATTTACGTATTACTTCTTCTATATCTTGATATTGTCATGTTTTTAATGCTGCTAATTCCATTAAACTATATACAGGATGGTCCATAAAAAGCACTACGATAAGAAGTTCAAATATCTTCACAACGATTCAATCAAATAAGCTGATTTTTGGGTTAGTAGTAGAGCTTTATTTAGAATCTTTTTTTTTCATACAGATAATGTAAGTGAATACTTCTATAAAGTATTATTGTTGATCTCACTAAAGAAATTTTATCTGTTGTCAAGCGAGAAAAATACATGTGAAGCATTTCATAATAATTTTTAGTTGTCACCTAAGAAGATAACAAGAAGAGATCAAAATAAACTTTATGAACGATACAACATTGACACAAATAGACTAAGCTTTAAGAAATAGCTAGTTTAAAAATAAACAATTATAATATTTCAAATTTTCAAACATGAAACATTGATTTTTTCGAGGAAGTTGGTGATTTACTTCCTAAAGAGCTTTAAGTGCTCGTTTTAGTTTTCGGAAGTGAATTCTAGCGTTTAGAGTAACTACTTCTTAAAGTTTGGTCTATTTGCACCAATATTATATCATTCATAAAGTTTATTTTGATCTCTTCTTGTTATCTTCTTTGGTGACAACTAAAAATTATTATGAAATGCTTCACATGTATTTTTCTCATTTGATAACAGATAAAATTTCTTTAGTGAGATCAACAATAATACTTTATAGAAGTATTCACTCATATTATCTTTATGAAAAAAAAGATTCTGGATAAAGTTTTACCACTAACCAAAACATCAACTCATTTGATTGCATCGTCGTGAAGATATTTGAACTTCTTCTCGTAGTGCTATTTATGGACCATCCTGTACTACATGGTTAGCAACTGTATACGCGAATCTCAAGAAATTGAATACAGGAACTCGGCATCAGACTATGGAAAATAGGTGACCACTTCAGGAGGAAAAATATAGGGCTTCTGAAGCTGTCTCTGACAGTGCTCTACACCGGTATCGGTAGCCGCAAAATGAGGCATTCTCCCAAAGTTTGTTGAAGGTATACACTATCGATATTAATTGTCTTCATTTATAGATGAGTTTTGCTTCATCATTTTTGAGACGAAAAATTGTTATCATTTGTTGATATCATCTTGAGAATAGGTCTTTGCTTGCTCGTAACTTTCATTGACATTGTCATGATAAGAAAAGAGCGAATAATAGCAAAATTTCATCGCACAGAATTCAAATGACTCTTGAAAATGTGAAGAAAAAGAATTTTACTTAAAAATAATCTTTGTCTTGCTGAAGTTAAAAAGTAAAAATCCAATTACTCATTCTCGTTTAAAGTTCAACGACATGATACTCTCAATTGAGAAGTGCGAAAAATCTACATTTTTCGTTACTTTTTTGATTTTCTTCGTCCAGTTATAGATACAAAAAAAATAAATTTTTACAAAAGTACTGATGCATTTTGATAGAGCTTCAAATTCTCTATCATTCTGTATATTTCTATCGTATTTTATATTTATGTACTAAAGAATAATTTGAGTAGTATGCAAGCATGCTACTTGACAAACTGTACAAAAGCTGGAAGTTCAGAATGATCGAAAAAAGAATTCTTTATCAGAACATACAATTACGTCTTGCAAAAAATATATCTTTGGGAATAATAAAAGTGGTAATAAACTGAAAATAAAAAGGATAGTGATAGGAGAAAATCCAGGTTTTTAAAGTTTGTCAAAGAAGGTGTTTAAATATTATTCAAATTATTTTTCAGTACATAAATATAAAATAAGATAAAAATATACAGAATGATAGAGAATTTGAAGCTCTATCAAAATGCATAAGTACTTTTGTAGAAAATACTTTTTTCTTTGTACCTATAATTTGAAAAAGCATAAACAGTAGCGAATTGTCGTATTTGTCAATTGAGAGTGTCTTCATTGTACTCAAATTACTTTGGCAATAGATAAATCCAGGACACTAGATGAATATATAGGAAGAGAGAGAATTTCAAGCGCTATATGTGCCAAGAGATACACCGATGTCACATGCTATCACCAGTATGTAATATCATCTTTGCGTTATTTTACTCTTACTTCATATCATCCTTGTATGATGTTAACCTTGTACCTTTACGTAATACTGTTCAAGGTATTCGATACTCTTTTAATACCTTTGTAACCGTTGCGCTATTCATTGCATGTATGCTCATTGTTCTCTTTTCACTTCGAGAGATTACCGCATCAAACAGATGCAAGGACAAATCGTTGAGAAGGAGAGAGAAGAGAAGAGAACAATCGAGAACAGCCTCAATGGATATTGGACAGTGTGAAGGATACACCTCACTCGAGGTTACACATCTGTCTTGGATGATATATATATGTTGGTGTACAAGCCATATGCAATTAGAGCAATCACAGAGAATGTGTGTTATATTAGGGTGTGTTATATAGAGAGTTAGATATATATAATAATATGTGTGTTAATATCAATAGAGAAATAAAATCGCGTACAACAAGTAACGGAATTGAGGTTGAAGAAACGATAAACAAAGCAAGGCCATAAAAGATGTGATCCAACCACGTGGTCACCTATCTTTCTGCATCGTATCCTTCGCCTATTATCAATTTTTCATTACACTATCAGAATATATAATTACTTTTTTTTAAAAGATATTTCTATAATGATAAAAAAATTCACAAAACTAATTGTGATGACAGTTACAAAACCCGGTTCGTGGAAATTTGGTGATGAGTGTGTCTTCATTGCAATCGCTCTATTTTCTAGTATATAAGTATAAACTACAATATAAATATACAAGGTCATAGAAAACTTCACAGGCTTTCAAAATATGATATTATTCTTTTAAAAATATGTTTTTATCGTGACGATATACTCAAAATACTGACTGCAGCTATTTTTTTCCAGGGATATATGTTGTAACGACAAAGAGATAGGGCTTCCTGTCGCATAATTATGTATATCTTTTTTCAATACGAAATTAGTGTATCAGGATGTTCTCTGTTCACTTTTATATGTTCACTACTATTTATATTAGCACATATAGTATTCTACTTGAAGGTGTGGGTGTAACATGTAGGAATCGGAGTCAGTTTCGCAGAATTCTATAACCACACCCACACCCCATCTCTGAGCAAGACCGAAACGCGTCGTGGCTGCTCTTTTTGATGCTCTTGAAAATTTTCTTTTGGATTTTGTTGAATTTTTATTTTAAACCCATCCTCACCCTCAAGCCACTTTTAGGTTATGAAAAATAATTATAAAACAAGTGTAGCTCTTTTTTATTCTATGAAACTCAAAGGGTTAAACAGTCGATCAATTTTTTCTGTACGCTCTTTACATCTAAACTCCAGTAGGAAGCATTTATAATCCTTGAATAGAACTTTACTTCTCTCTTTTTCTTCCGTTCTCTTTCTTTGAATCAATATATTCTATGGACTAAAAATATTAGTGCATTTGATGTATTACTCATAAATATTCTGCACTTTGTGCAAAGAAACTATATGCGTACATCCACAAAAAGGTACACATATTATTATTATTATTATTATTATTATTATTCTAAACCTTTCGTTCTCTCTTTTCTTCTACAATCATATAAGTACTGAATCATGAACTTTACAGAATTAGGCTTACCCATAGATCCGATCTATGAACATCATCAATCTCGATCGCTCAAAGTTTTCTGTAAAAATCATTTGAAAGCAATTATTATAATTATAGTTTCCATTGTCTTAATTAACATTGTTTTGATAACTTGTCTGACATTACTTTTAAACAGACCAGATACCAAAAAGACTGTCACCGAAACATCTCCAACTCGCACTACGAGATCAACTATCAAACTACACCATACAACTAGAAATCCACCAAGTAAAGAAAGAATCCATACGCTATTTTATACTTTTACGTTCATATCTTCTGTCTTTTAGTTGATTTAATCATTAACAATGTAACACTAAAAACATGTCTACCATCTCGTACATCTATTTACAATCAAACTGGTCAAATACTCGTTGGTGAAAATTTACAAAATTATTATTGGAAATTTCGTCTAAATAGACAACATAGTACAGATTTATTCTTAGATCAGCAGAAAAAACGACTCTATGTAACAGAAACTGATCGTGTAATTATGTTTGATATCAATTTTCTGGAACAAGGTTTTTTTATTCTTGGAGAAAGTAGTGATCGATGGCCAAATTTAAAAGAAATGCGCTCATCCTTTATCGATTTCGATGATAACTTGTATGTTTTGGATGTCCAGTATGGGAATAGTTATACTCAGAACGTTCCTAAATCTAGTTTTTCATATAGTATTTGGTTTTGGTCAAAGCAAGCAAAAGAAGGAACGAAACTTCTAAGTGGCAAGGGGGATTGTTATCGGTTCCATGTCGATAAAAAGAAGAATATTTACGTGGCTGAAACTGAAAACCATCGCATTGTGAAATACTATGCACCTTTCTACTCTAATTATACAGTTGTAGCTGGTAATGGTATACAAGGATCTGATCGCAATCAGCTTCATTCACCTTTTAGTGTCTATCTAGACGAAACAAATTCTGACCTCTTTATAGTAGATCAGAAGAACAGACGAGTCCAGAAATGGTCATTCGATGCTAGACAAGGCGAAACTGTCGTCTCGCACTTGTATGCTAAAGCACGCAATGCTGTACCCGATTGTCATGGAAGTTTCATTGTCTATGGTCAAAATGTAGCAAAATTATATAGTAGATTTGAAATAACCGGTTTCGACGGAATTGCAATATTGAATTCTTCCATAAAATTTGAAGCCATGGCGTATGATGAAACAAACGGTGATATCTATGTGTTGAATATAAAAAGAAATAATATAATAAAATATACAATTGAACGTGAAGTAACACTCTACAATAGTAAGTAACTAGAATTTTCTAATAATGCCTTTCTTAAGATTGAAGTTCGAGTTACTTGAAGTAAAAGCATTTATTGTTTTTTTAGACACAGTCAATTCGTTTGATAATGAAACTGACATCAGTCAGTGTGAAATAGCATCAGATTCAACATGGATGCCTACTGGTGAAGTAATTCTAGGTAATACTGCGCTTGGATGTGGTTCAGCTAAAGAACAACTCTGTTTACCAACTCAACTATTTATCACTTCTGACGATATTCTCTATATTCTTGATTCTGGTAATTTAAGAATTCAAAAATATAATCTAACTGATAAGACAGTTAGCACAGCTATTAGTCGTGGATTGATTTTTAATCCGTTAAGTATTTATGTCAGTAAAACACATGATATTTATGTCCTTGATCGTCCTAATAAAACAAATTCATTCGTAAAAGTTTGGTACAATAACAACTACAATAAAAATGGAACGATTCTAATAAATACCAATGAAAAGTTCCGTAAATTCTATTTAGATCCAGATTTAAACATTTATATCTTAACAAACAGCATTATTAGAAAATGGTTTGTACCAAATTATTATTATTCAATCGGACTTGTGTCATCTCTTAGTAATAGAACACCATTTTATATTGACCAACAATTTTCTCTGCATGTTTACGATATTCTACAACGAACTATAGAGAAATGGTCAGCAGGTAATATGTCAAACGTGACAGTCTTCTCTGGACTACCATATACTTATATTTCTGAACAAGTGGTTTTTACATTGGATTGCAATAAAAATATATACTTTACTCATATGAAGAAACTAGAGAAAATTTCATCGTACGTTATATATCGATTGAATCCAAAGAAAAATAGTACAGAAATTATTGATCGAAATCTAACTTCAATTACTGGCGTACAATTTGATAGCTATGGAAGTCTTTATGTGACTGAAAGAAATAAACATCATGTGAAAATGTTTGCAATTATGAACTGACGAGAAAAAGTTTCCAACTAATAATTTGCTTTTAGTCTGAAACCTAGTGGACAATCAGTAATCGACCACATTGAATTCTAATATCAATATGAGACGGGCTGCTATGCGTTCATAGTCTGGCTTCTGGAAAAATAGATCATAAAGTCAAAAGCCTATTAAAGTCAAAAATGTTTTTTTTTTATCTGTACACATGAAAGAGCGCGTCGAATAACGTACGGAAAGTGAAATTTGTTATTTTATAAACATTTTAAAACGAATAAATAGAAATGAAACTTGTAAAAGAGTGGGGTGAGTGTGGGTGTAGTTGTGACAAAAAGATTACTCACACCCTCACTCACACCTGATATGCACAATCACCAATAAACCCATCCACACCGATCCCCACTCGACACCCACACTCGACTCTGATCAAAACCCACACGCACATCCTGTATTTATTATTGAGTATACGTGTCCAAATGACGACAGAAGTAAACTGATTCAATTCGATCCCATAAAAAGAGAACGAAATGAAGTGCAAAATATTGCTTAGTGAAGTAGTTTGAAGAGGGTGTGGGTGTGGGTGTGGGTGTGTGGCTGGGTGTGGGTGTGTGGGTGTGGGTGTGGGTGTGTGGCTGGGTGTGGGTGTGGGTGTGGGTGTGTGGGTGTGGATGTGGGTGTGGGGTGTGGGTGTGGGTGGGTGTGGGTGTGGGTGGGTGTGGGTGTGGGTGTAGGCATGCACCAAATCCAAATCCAATCAAACCCAAATCCAATTTTTTGTTTGGGTTTGACTGGGTTTGACTAGATTTGGTTTTGGGTTTGACTGGATTTGACTTGGATTTGGATTTGGATTTGACTGGATTTGACTTGGATTTGGGTTTGGATTTGACTAGATTTGGGTTTGACTGGGCTTGGGTTTGACTTGGATTTGACTATATACACCTACAAAGGCTGTAGTTTTTCGGTAACCAAACTCGCCAAAACCGGTCAAATCTTCGTGTCCATTAGACGCAGTTCTCTTCGCTCTATCCAATGATGGCGTCAGATTCCATGTAATCTTTCAAAAAGTGCCAAGGTTTGACAGATTTTTATGCAAATTCTTGCTTTTTATTCACGTTTTTGATCAAATCCTGTCAAACCTTGGCACTTTTTGGAAGATTACATGGAATCTGACGCCATCATTGGATACAGCGAAGAAAACTGCGTCTAATGGACACGAAGATTTGACCGGTTTAGGCGAGTTTTGTTACCGAAAAACTACAGCCTTTGTAGGAGGTATATATAGTCAAATCCAAGTCAAACCCAAATCCAGTCAAATTCAAACCCAAATCCAAGTCAAATCCAGTCAAACCCAAATCCAAATCTAGTCAAACTCTGTCAAATCCAGGATTTGAGTTTGACTGGATTTGGATTTGGTGCACCCCTATGTGGGTGTGGGTGTGAGGATGTGAGGGTGGATGTGGGTGTGAGGATGTGAGGGTGGGTGTGGGTGTGGATGTGGGGTGTGGTTGTAGATTAAGATCAAACTTACTCTTTCTCATTCTCACCCACACCCCCGGTTACTTTAACATTTTCTTGAGAATATCTATGATTGATAGCTGAGTCTCGCAATATTCCTATTATTAATGAACATTCCATGTCTTCATTCCTCTTTTGGTTTCATCCAAAGTGTATAATACACTTTTCTTACTGTTAAATCAAAAACTGATCGATCATGTGAAACAGCAGAGTGATCTCGTGTCTCTTCATCCAACCCTCAAGATAGTTAGGATCTCCTCCTTACTTTAATTTTTAAAGTTTTGAATCCCTTTAGATCAGTCATTGATTGCACTCTTAGTCTGCTAACTTTTAATCTTATTTCGAAGCCTACTTTTGCACGGTTCATTTCATCCTCGCTTCTTGACCGTTAGTAAGTCGACTACAGACTAGAATCCCAACAAGTCAACATCAAAATTACTCACAAGGGAAGGTCTCTAACTGATACATATCGTTTTTGTTGATCCTTTACCTATATGTAGAGTTCGAGGAGACTAGGAAAAGCCTGAAAGGATAACAGTCCATAGGCCTTCTTTCTGGAGTTATGATAATTTTACTAAGTTTATCATCTATGGACAAGAGATTCACTGAAAAATCAAATTACCAAATTTCTATCTGAAATTTTACTCACATGTAGGTTCTATGGCCTGTATATTATTCTCAAAGTTTCAACCAAAACGAATGCTTCTTTCTCGAAATATTGAGTTTTCCATAAAAGATGGTTTTCCTGACATATATGTAGCATGGTAATGTTTTCTTGAGAACGCAATATTTCAAGAAAGATGCGTTTGTTTTCGTTGAAAACTTTCCGGTAATATACAAGTCGTAAGACCTACATATGGTCAAAATTTCAGATCGAAATTCGGTAATTTGATTTTTCACTGAATCCCTTGTCATAGGTAGTAAACCCAATAAAATGATCGTAACTCGAGAAGGAAGAGTGATGGGCCGTTATCCTTCCAAGTTTTATCTAGTCTTATTAGACCCTATACACGGGCAAAATATCATTAGAAATGGCGTGAACCAGTTGGGAACCTCCCCTCGTGAGTTTGGTTCCGTTATGCGCTCTTGACAAAGATTCGCATAGTTTTGAGAAATGAACTCTCCAAAAGTTTTATTTCCATACTGATCGATCACCAGTCCGTCAAGAAATCTACAGTGAATATCTTATGTGTTCAGAAAGGCTCGACAAAACATCATGAACCTTTGTCGCAATCTTTGGGCATGATACAGTGTGCCTTTTTGTGTCGCAGGAGTCATTCACAGAGAGAAAGAAAAAAGTTGATTGACGCGTATGCTTTTGTTCTTTTTTTGTGGAAAGTGGATGTCTTTGCACACAGCATACTTGAATAGTAACCTTCACTTGCATAGTAAATATTTGGTAAGAAAATGGAGAATGGCACATTTTGTTGGCTGTCATCAGTGGGTTTTTTCCAACTTACAAAAGAAAAATAACAAAGTCAATACATAGATGAAGCAATGCTGAATCCGCAAGCGTTGTGATGCCATTTGCGACGCTATGGTGTAAGCGAATTTCTTAGACATTTCTATGTAGCGTAACCAACAACAGTATGATTATACATTTTGAAATATCTTGCACATTAAAAGCTATAGGTTCCAGGGTGTGAGGTGTGGGTGGGTGTGGATGTGGGTGGGTGTGGGGTGTGGGTGTGGGTGGGTGTGGGTGGCTGGGTGTGGGTGTGGGTGGGTGGGGTGGATGTGGGTGGGTGTGGGGTGTGGGTGGGTGGGGTGGATGTGGGGTGTGGGTGTGGGGTGTGGGTGGGTGTGGGTGTGGGTGTAGGTAGATGCAGGTGTGGAAGTGGGTGTGTTGTCGGTAGATGCAGGTGTGGGTAGATGCAGGTGTGGGTTGTGGGTAGATGCAGGTGTGGAAGTGGGTGTGTTGTCGGTGGATGCAGGTGTGAGTGTGAGTGTGGGTTGTGGGTAGATGCAGGTGTGGAAGTGGGTGTGA